CCTTTTCCTTCTTTCTTTCAGAGGTAAAGGTGCGTTAGTTTGCTTTTACTGGACGTGACTTGAATAAAGTAAAGTTCAAACACAAAATACAGATTGCTGTAAACACGTATGTATCATGCTTGCCATGATGTCATCTTTAATGATATCTTCCACTTAAAAGAATTTTGCAAAGGGTTAAGAAGTTGAATTTTCTTAAATTATTAAAATTTAAGAATTTTTTAAATAAATAAATAAGGCATTCTTAAAATGTTAGTTTCTTAACTTTTTGTGACTTTTTTCTGGTTTTCTTTGTTTTCTTTTTTTTTCCTAAAATCTTGTTTGGCCTTCTTCTCTGGCTCCTTTTCTGTGGAAAAAGGGTTCACCACAACTGCTGAAAAACTTTGGCAAACAGCAATTATGAGATCTTGTGAGTCACAGATTTCTAAATACAAGAACCTTCTGATCTACGAAAATGAATTATTGTCATTGTGAATAAATCATACTTGTCTAGGATCCACACTAGATCAAATACTAAAGAAAAGAAACAAATTTATTAAGCTTCTCTTTTCTGTTCACTTATTTCATATGTCACTCGATGTAGAAATTTCTTTTTGTGTTTTCAAGTACTTCACAGATTGCCTTTTAAGTAGAAGACCATATTTCTTCATAGACTTTTATTAGTAATAAATTTAATTACAGGGAAAAAAAATCACACAAATTTAATATTTAATTGAAAACCTGAAGGTTTTTTCCTGCTTTCAAACTGTTTTTAATCACATGTAGTTGAGTAATTGAAAATTCTGTCAGATCACACCTATGTAGCAGTACTTCTTCTGATACAGTTAATGAACAAATAGTGTTGGCCTAGCAATCCTTCATACTAAATTAGTGTTATAATTGATTGTATGATAAAAATCAAGTCTTTTAAAAACAAAGCACATATTTTTGCAATTTAGAGATAATTCTGGAGAACTGAGGTAGTAACCAGAGAGGAGTGTACATGAAATCCTCATATAATTTGATGGAGGTAAATGGAAATGTCATATAAAAACATTGCTGTGTTAATAAGATGCACACACAAGTCATGATTCAAGGCCATTGAACGTGGAATCTACAATTTTTTCTTTAGCCTTTAACAGTTTATTAAGCACAGGTATCCCAAAAGCAGTTAGCTCATGCGTTGAGTTAGATATCAAATCGCACCAATGAACTCTTATGTACAGTTAGTCTGAAGATGATTATGAAGACCATGATTCCTCTGTTCTTTAAGGTTTGTTTGGATTTTATCTATATGACAGTGTGAGTCCTTTCACTTTTTTTTTTTGGAAGGTCTTAAAATACAAACCTAGATCTCAGGCTGCAGCTGTAGGGCATAAACACACCATTTGGTTTCAGGATTTTCAGCTGATTCTTGCCCAACCTCTGAGCCATGCTGAAGGTCATTAAAAAATCACACCTTTTGTATAGCAGAAGAACTTAGCAGAGAAGCAGTTTGTTAGTTCCATTACATGGGGTAGATTTCTTCTTGGCTGAGACACAGGCTGTAGTGATTTTCTTCTGCATCAGCTTCACCCATACATGTTAGAAACCAGTAAAAACCTTTCCAACCTCCTGCCCCAGCTCCAAGTCTTCAAACTCAAACCCTACTATACTGATTAACCAGGGCAATCAAGCATGTGATGAAAATCACAGCATATATCTACTAGAGTTTACATGCCTTTGACATCTTTGGGTGAGGCTGAAGACAAAGAAGGCCACCTTTTACTCTGAGGGGGCCCAGAGAGAAATAATAGCCTTTTTCTTTAATAATAGAGTTAGCTTTTCTTTTTTCTCCCTCCTTTACACTGAGTCTAGCTCCACCAGAGCCCTTTCACAGTAAAGCTTCCATGTGATTTTTTGCACAGTATTTAGCAAGTAGTTTAGCAGGACTCAAAAGTGATTATACAGAAAAACATAAAAAGTAGAAGCAAACACAATGCCCACTGTAAGAGAGGAGGTAAAGGAATGACAGAACAATATTGAGACAAAATGTGTAATATCCAACTGACTTTGGGAGAAAAATCAAACACAGATTGACAGTTTGTCTCTATCAGAGATATATTATGACTGAAATAATGTATTTGATTAAGCTGTTACTTCTAGATGCTACAAACTTCCTAGTTACTTGATAGACTCAACTGAAAAATACTTGTGGTTACAAACATCTGTCACGTGACATCTTGATCACTTAATGTCAATCTATTTCAATTTGATGAAAAGTTTTTGTAGCTTCTGTAGCTGTAATTTTTTTTCTTTTATAGTTGTAGAAATAAAAATGACAGTATCATGATCACTATTTTAGATTAGTTTATCTATACCTACAATTCAGAAACTGTATAAAGATATATTTGTGAAATACTGTGTAATTCTGAAGAGGTTTATGTGAGTTGACTAAAAGAATACTAATGTAACTTTTCAATATGATATTTTTCTTATTTTATGTTCACTTCAGTGAATGGAAACACTGTAGCAGGTTTCCATCTGAAATTCAAGAACCACTGCTACTCTTGAAATTTCTACCTTTTCTTCCTTCCAGAGTGTAAATTTTTGTTTAGATGAAAGATAATCCTAAAAAAATTAATTTAGGGATGTTTCCTCCTGGTTCTCAAACAAGCTCTTGCTGAAACCTGCAGTACTTCCTGTAGCACAAAGTCTAGTTCCAAAAGTGTGATTTAAGAGAAAACTGTATGGGCAAAGGACAGTGAGACATAAAGCTAATGAATGAATGAGCTAGCTAATGAGCTAGGCCAATAGCTATCAATTCCTGTCTCTCAGTGGAAAGGTAAAGTGACAAACCAAGAGGCGAGCCCAACCTGCAATTTAATTATATACTTTATATATTTTCTTGAGTTCTGTGCTGTTTATTTCTCTTGCAGTAAAATTAATGATTTCACCCAGTGAGGTGCACGTAATACTGAACCACTAAACTAATATTTTGAAGTATATGGTTCTATCTTTGTCCAGTACAAGCATTTAAGCCTACATTTAACTTTAATCATCCTATAAAAAGTGGATTGTGGAATTCCATCTTATGCAAATAAGGATTTTATCTTGTACTATCTAAAAATCAAATAGTACACTCAACTTCTAGCCAGTGATTAGTTTATGTTGTGTGCATTGAAAAGAAGTGCATTCTGATGTAGATTTATTTCCGGTGAAGCAATATTTATCAATCAAATATGAAGAATACTATCAGAATTTGAATTACTTCTAAAACTGAAATGTCTTTTTTAATGTTTCCACTGGAGTTGAGTGACTTGACATCCTACAGATTTCCAGCTCACTGGCTTACAGAGTTTGGCAAAAATGTATTTTGCTTTGAATCTGGCATAATGCTCATTTGATTCTTCCTGATGAGTGTTATCAGTTCCATGTTCAAATTTATATCTAATTAATCAACTCCTGGTTGCTTCTTCATGGGCTGATTTTACAGAAGCTTCACAGCAATTTCAGTTTTTTTTTTCACTGGTGCAAGGGCTACAGATTTAGAAGCAAAGCTGATTAAAAAAAAAAATAATTTACATTTTTGAGACAGAGTAATGTGTACCACTTTTGTGTGGTTTATTTTAAAAGTGTTGTCTAGATTTCAACTACTGCCAAGTACTGCTTCTAGAATATTAAGCTTTGTATGATGCTTACTCAGCATGTCATTCCAACTTTTTGGTGTTTTGCTGCCTCTTCATCAAGTATCAGCTTGCCTTAAAAGCACTTTAATGCCTTGAAGATAATGAACAATTTGGCAGCAAAGATATTTTCTGACTGATTTGGAGCTTCTGCATAATCTACTTAGCATATGAGATCATTGAAAGCTATTATACTGGCTATTTTAAAATTAGGATTTATTTCTGTTTGAATTTTGAAATCTCTCCTTGGGAGAGCCATTTAAATGTAAACGTATATTTTCCTCTTTAACAGTAGCTTATGGGCTATAATGGTGGAACATTTTTGCATTTTTATGTTTAGTTTTATTGTAAAGAGCCTTGGGATGCATTTGCACAAAAGGCACTATATAAGCTCATTTTGAGCTGCATTGTATTGCATTGTGACAAGAGCTATAATCTCCAGGTTTCTATCCATTAAAGAACTAATTTCACAGCTCACTAATTATGTGAATGAGAAGGGGAAGTAGGTCCTTTTCCTCTAAGGTATGCTGAGCAGATGGCATAGCAGTCATCTCCACCAATTGAATCTAAGGTCCTTTCTTGCATTTGGTTCCAAGGCTTGCCCCTGTTTATCAAATAGAACAGAAGAGAGATATCAGTTTATTGTACAGTGTGCCAGTCCGTACTGAGTGGCTGCTTCTGTCCTTTGCTAGTACAACATTGGTTAACACATACCATGCATAAAGAGCCTATTTATTGAGGATGGGACATGAGAACTGTTAAAATACATGTGTATTTTAATGTATTTCTAATTTGCCTCTTATTCATAGAAGATGCTGGATAGATCCGTCACAGGGTTTTATACTGATACTCATAAAAAAAGTTGTTAATGAATCAGTTGAGAACCTGTGGGACTCAAGTTGGTAATTTCAAAACAGAAAATCATTATTTCCTTAGTCTGTGCACTTTCCTTCATAGCTACCTTGATAATCTGATCTTTCTTTTTTTTTCTTTTGCCTCACTCATGAAAATGATTTGAATCAAAAGTGTATATAATGATATATATAGCCTCATAATGCAGTGTTTTTTTTTTTAAAGTAACGTGAGTCATTAGAGATACCAGTATTCTCCTGTGATCCTGAAATATTGGTATTTGGGCCCTTATTTCAGCACTAAAAAGAGAAAAGCTGAGTCTGAAGGTCCCAACACATTTTATTTAGGACTTGGCAATAAAACTGCATTTTACAGTATTACACAATCAGATCATTTGCTCTCTTTAACAAAGTGAGCAGTGCTAAGTTCTTGTTTCCTTCTCTCACTACTGGGCTGTCACATAGGGGTTTTTTTGTGTTCATGGTTCCGATTTCATTCTAATTTCAGACAGATGCAGCACTAATGTATGATGCAGTTCATGTGGTGTCAGTGGCTGTCCAGCAGTTCCCACAAATGACTGTCAGTTCACTACAGTGCAATCGCCACAAACCATGGCGCTTTGGGACCCGCTTTATGAGTCTTATTAAGGAGGTAAGTCACTAATAGTGTCCTGCTTCATTGCTTTCCTTTCTCCCTACTCCTACTTTCTTTTGTGTCTATTCTACTTGAATTCTGCCATTTTTTTCTTTCCTTTTTTTTTTTTTTTCAGTAAATGGGAATCTCTCAGCTTGTTGTGTGTGAGGAGTTTATCAGCCAAGACAGCATTTTTATTTGAAAATGGGTTTTCCTGAAGTATAAGTTGGAACAGAGAAACATAAAAAGATGAAAGAACTGCATTCTAAATAAGTTTTGTTTGTAGATCATTGAGACGTATAGTGTGTGTGTCAAGTATCTTTGGCAAAAAACCCCCAAAGCCCTGAAACCCCAAGCTATAGACCATAGACTGATTACGAAAAATTCAGCAACTGAATTACTGGCTAAGTCCAAAGAAGTCAAGAATGAAAATTATTCCCTGATTTAATATTTTTTTTCTCTCTCTCATTTCCCTCCCGCCCTGCCCTCCCACGGTGAATTAATGTCTGTGGCCTTGGTCTCCTAGTATTCTATTTAGATACTGACAGATAGTAATTTAAGAGAAAGTCAAGAGAATTAAGGTGCTAAAGATGAACACCATAGAGTATTCAAGTCTTGTACTGTAAGTAATACCTAATGCAGTATTTCTCATTCTAAAATGCTGTACTAAACTATGTGATTAAATAAAACCCTGTTTTTAGCATTGGGTCTTTTTAGGATAGCAATTTTGTTTTCCACAGTCTGTCCATCACTTCCATATATTTTTAGAATTAGGCAGACTTCCAGTTAAAAAGAAATGAAGATATTGTACTTTAATAAATTTAAGGAATCAGCTCTGAAAGACTGCCTCAGTGACCTCAATTTTTGCTGTCTCAGAGTAGTTTGAGGGGACTCAGCATTTTGTAAAAGTAAAACTTCATTTGACTAAAATCTCATGAAAGAAAAATGAAATCCACGTCAATGAAAGAAATTGCAGTTTTAGGACGGGAAGGTGGAGGCATGTAGGGAAGCAGAAAGGGAAATGTATGCATGGATGATAGAGCAATGAAAACAAAAGTCTTTTATTTCATGCAGTAAGAATAGTCTATTAGCTAATATGGAGGTTTGTTTAAAAAATTGACTGTGAACACTGAAGTAAGATTGATTTAATTCGCAAAAAGTGAATACAAGATAATTTTTTTTAAAAATCAGTCACAAGGTGAATTATTTAGTTAGTGTGACTAATTTGTTTCCATTTTGGCAGAAGTAAAATTTGTTTTTTTGGGTCAAAAGAAGAGGTATTTATTTATAGAAATTGTTTTTTTCTTTCTCCATAGGCCCACTGGGAAGGCCTCACAGGCAGGATAACTTTCAACAAAACCAATGGCTTAAGGACAGATTTTGATTTAGATGTTATCAGCCTCAAGGAAGAAGGACTTGAAAAGGTGTGTAAGATATTTGTCTCCAAAATGATGGGAAACAAAACAAAACCCACCCCCTAAAAGTAGCAGCCTTTTCAATAACATTTCAGGTGTTACATGGAACAAAATACCTGTTCTCAGCTTCATATCTGATTTTAAAGTCTAGTAAAAGCTGTTATCTTAACATCTGACAAGTACTGTCCTCTTACCTGTGTGCTTCTAGCCACATTCTTAGATTCAGGTGGGCTGGGAAGAGCCATGCATTAATATCCTTCAGTCTATATTGAGTTTAGTTATCATTCTAATCCATTGCCTATCCTCATGTGTGAACCTGTGGGTATGCGTATTTTGCATTTTCTTTACATCTTACTAATTCAAGAAGAATTACCTCTAAACAGAACGCAAAAAACTCTTTCATTTTGTCAGTTTTCTGTTTTTTTAAGAGGGAACTTTGATTCTTTTCTTGGAACACAAAGTTTCCTTCTGTAAATGGAAAAAAAAAATAAATAAAATTTAAGAGGAGGTAGCCTGACAGGTTTGTCTATCTTCTGTGTAGCCTAAATTGTCCATGTTTGAATTAAAGGTGCTGGGAAACATGTACAGATATTTGTCCTGCCTACATGACATCACGATGATCTGAAATCAGATCACGTTCTCTCTCTTCTCCAGCCACCCTGTCATGGACAAGCAGTGCAGGAAGCTGCATCTCACATTTGTGATCAGCAGACAAAGGTTTTGCAATTTGCATCTGCCTTGTCATTTTTATATAGCTATGGCATTTGGTGTTCTGTAATCATTATGTTTTTCTTCATCTTCAGATAAAAGATTATTAGCTATTGCCCTAGGGTGATATTGTGGCCACAAATAAAAAAAGAAATTAACGGAAGACACCATGCAACAGAGTTGCATTCCCTTTCCTTTATAAATTGTTGAATGGAGGAAATAGCATAAACAACAAATCCAAAACTTCCCCCTCAAAATTACTTTTAGAATATTAATATTCTTTTACGAGGAAGATTTTAAAAAAGGTTCAGAAGCCGTGAGCTTGCTTTGAAACACTTCTATAGGTAATAACATATTTTAAAATATCCAGTGGCAAACCTATTATTAAAGGCCTAAACTATGTCTTTAAACATTCAGCAATGTACTGATAGTAAAGATTCTTCCTATGAAGTACTCCATGAAGGGCTTGAAAAACTTAAGGAGGGGGAGGGGAAGTGGAGGAGAGGAATATAGCAGTGATTAGACTTGGAAAGTAAATTAACTTTGTGTACAAGTAGAATAGGTATAATGCAATCTGTCTTCCTTACTGGAAACATAAATAAAAGAATTGATGACATAGAAATAGCTAAGTATGTCAGTAGTGGCTGAAGAGTCTTCATGCAAGTCACAACTGTTGAAAATGAGGAAAGGAAGTCTCTGTAATCAAGATTAGCTGTAAGAGCATTGGGTGGTATTTAAGAACCACCAAGCAACATGGGTTTTCTGGATAAAAAAAATCTCAGTTGTGAGTATATTAGATGTGTACCCTGCTGAGAATATAAAAATAAACCAGAAATGTCTCTAGAGTTTAGAAACAGAAAATAAAACTCAACAGGAAATATTGTACTCTAAAAACCCTAATAGGAAAAAGTTAACTTGTGAAACAATAATATTCAAAGACATGTAAGAGACAACAGTTGTGAAAAGGATATGGACATTTAAAAATAACCAGTAAAGGAAGATACTTTTATTGTCTTCACTGCTCATTTTGGCCCTGTGATGAAGGGGTGTGATAACATTCTTTCAGCAAAACACGATAACAGTCTTTGAAAAGAGCACTAGGAATTACTTATCATGTATTAGGAAAGTTTAGATGTTGGGAAAATAATGTTAAAGAATGATGAGGAATGCCACACAAAGATACATATGAGCAAAAGCAGAGCAGTTTCTGCAGGGTGTAATGATAAGGGATTCGGAAAAGGAAAATTAAGGACATCAGATTGAACTGCTTAATAAATATATGGTATTTTACTGAGAAAGATAAATCAATGCTGAGAAATGTTTTTCTCTGAAGAAAACTTGGTTATTCTGAAAGAATATCCTATACTTGAATTCAGGGCGAGCCCATTAAACTCTAGAGCTGGACACTTCCTAGTAGAAAGAATGTGTTTTAGCCAGTCTTTCATTTAAAAAAGCTGTCTCAAAGTTAGTGTGGTTTTTATTATTATTATTTTTGTTTTCTTTAAAACTTTATTTTCCCTTCAGATTGTCTTTATTAAAGCTGTGATAAATCCCTCTCCATCTCTGTCCCCTTCCTTCCTTCCTTTACATGTGCACTCCTCTCTACATCCCACTGCTTCTTTGTTGCTTTCTGCTACGCTCTCCTTCTCACCCTGCTCTCTTTCTCACTCTTTTCTCCTTTTCTCCTTTCCCCCCTCCCTGCCCATTTCCCTTTCTATCTGATCCCTGTCCACTTGTCCCTCTTCACCTCTTTGCTTTATCCATCCCCGTTCTTTTTTCTTCAGACTTTCACCATCTTTGTCCTTTTCTTTTGAGTTCCCACTGTTCCTTGCAAAATACCACCTTATCAAGCCTCTCTTCCTATGTAGTTAGAGTTCCCAAAGAGTTATTTATTTATTTATTCATTCATTCATTTTGTGGGATGAGAGAAGATGGGGATGTGAGAATTTTCTGTGCTGTATGTGCAGTTTTCCATACTGTAAATATCTATTATTTCATTTAACCTCTTTCAAAATATTGGTGAAAGACATATTATGTGAATGACAACAGTTCAAAAATTTCAACTGTAATCTGAAATGCTTTTGTGACAAAGTGAGATATCTTGAGGAGAAAAATATTCATGTTAGGAAAAGAGTTATTGTGAAGTAGTTCTACAAGACCTACTTTTTACCTTTTTTTTTTTTTTGAGAATTGGGGAAAAAATGTCCTAGATAAATTTCCTGGTTAGTATAATGAGAAATTACTTAATTTATGTATTTTAAGTACAATAACTTCTGAAGTCACTGACAACAGAAAAAAAAAATAATGCCATGTGTGATCTCTGACTGAAAAGTGATAATCAAACATAGTCAATAAGAAGTATGCATTTCCAAATAAAATTTCATGTCTGGTATTGTCAGATGAAAATGACAAAATTAATAAAAATTGAAGTGCTGCTAATGATGTGAGATACAGCAAAATTTGCCAACAGACACTCTGGATACACTGGAACAATTTGTTATTAAGCACAATGAAAATCCAAAACTGTGACAATCGAGTATAATAAGGAAAATATCATTTAAATTATAATCAGTCAATCAGTATTTTACACTGGAGGTGCATCATAAGGAAAATTACTTTATAATTTAGGGAGATAAAAACACCTGAATCTAATACAATTTTTTATATTAATATTTTTCACTGATGAAGAAACACATTTCTTGAGTAAAGATGTTAACAACTGGCTTGCAACCTTGCTCAGGACTCTACACACAGGGTGAAAATAAATGACACAAAATGAGTTGTAATTCATTGTCCAGCATATAAATATAAGATCTTGCTCTATTTAGTACCTTTATTAATGATGTGGGAAAAAACAGTGACATAAACAGAAGGTTTTGTAAAAATTAGGGGAAAAAAACAAGGGAGATAACAGATCTGTGGAAGCCAGCAGTATTGGTATTGACATGATATTTGCAAAGAAAGCAAGCATATTAATGTATCTGAAGAAAGCAAAATAAATTGAGCATTTTGCAAATGGAAAGGCATAAAAAGAATTAATATTACTTACAACGCAGTATAAAGATTTTTTTTTTTTTTTAAAGTAAGCACCGATTTTGCTAACTACTCTACAAGATATCTTGTAGAAAAGATATTCTAGAAATAGAATAGTAGAAAGCAAAGATGGCAAACTGGAGACACATTTTTCAGTTCTTGGGGACTTGGCTCTAAATTTGGCTGCACAGTTAGATGGGACCACTGCAGAAGGTCAGCGATCTTTCCTAATGCAATGCTTGTGATACTTCATTGTCAATAGTATATACTGTTTTGATCAACATAAAGCCAAAAAATATCTATATTACTTTTCTCAGGAGAGTTTTGAAGGAAGTTCATAAAGAAGAATAATTGAAACAATACTTGTAAAAATAAATTGCTTTTTCTCAAACATGCCAAAGTAAGAAAGCTACTTTAATCTATTGAATATTTTTGGATAACAACTCAAGAGACTGATGATCAGTAACTATAGAGTATATGTAAACTCAGTAAATTTTAAGTTTCAGAACTGTACAATGTCTCATTTTTTGGGGCAGGTGATAAATTATCTTACTGGTTTTGGCTGGGTTAAAGTTATATTTATTCATAGTAGCTTATATAGTGGCTATATTTTGGATTTGTATTGAAAATATTGTTAATAACACAGAATACCAATTTATTTCACTTTTTAAGAAAACATGAAATTTTGGTGCAAATAAATTTAATGTTGTAGAGGTAAATTTTAAGTTCTTTGAACTGCACTTATATGTGATAGACTAATTCAATTTACTTTTTGTACATTTTTGGCTTTTAAACTTTTATAGTGGAAACACATCTGTTCAAAAGGCTACTTTAAAATTATAAATGTGCTCAAGCAAATAGAAAAGAATGAATTTGCCGCACTGTTTATACACAGTTTTCTCTAGAAGCAGCAACTTTACAAAGATATTTGTGTGATTTGGGTGCTTATGCATATTAGAATATATCAAAGTCTGTGGTGTAAGTTGTTGGGTTAGAGCTCATTAATAAAGATAATGCAAAGAATGTCTGGTTTGGAACATATGTTTTTGTCCATTTCTTAGATTTTTATTTATTCACAAATACAGCAATATAGGTACAATTAACCTCATCTAGAAAAATAATGCAACAATTTGTCAAGACAAGTTTCTTTTTAAAGTAACACCATGGATAGTCTATATGGGTTAGTTACGTAAATCCCAAATTCTGACAGTTGATAGTTTATTTGCTTGTGACTGTGGCTACATGAAAAAATAGAGTAGGAAGTATTTTAATTAGCAGTGTGTTAGTTTTAGCTAAGATAAATTTGAATTATGAATTTGAATAAAGTATATAATGTAATGAATTTAGGATTTGCATTTGATCAAATAAAGTGATAGTGGTTTCTTAGAAAATTTTGTGTTACTTTTGTACCTGAAATTGAATTTCATAAAGGAGAATTGTCTAGCTTTAATTAAGTGAAGGAAGAGCCAGGGACAGGCTCAAGCTCCCATCTTTGTCATTCCTTGTTACTGTATTCTAGTTTGGTCTTTCTTTGAAGTAAAGCAAACACTGCGATTGCCATAATTAGCAGAACATTGCATCTAAATTCTCAATTCTTTTACAGTTTTTTAATTGTGGTCAAGCTGCAAATCTGAACATTCTGGTTTTTCTAAAAACCTTTCAAGGCACCAAATGAAATAATATTAAAAAAGTAAATGAATGGAAGTTTTTTGTAGTAAGGTTTGGTTTCAATACCTTGAAATTATATTTTAGATTTTATTTTATAGTTATTTTTCTGAGACACACATATTCTTTCTGCCCTTCATGTTTCTTTTATCAGTTTATGAGGTACTGAATGGCCAAAATTCAAGAATCACAGCCATTCATAGGAGTGACAACTTGGAACTGAGTGTTATGCGAAGAAGAAATCTAAAATATTAACTTCCGTGGAACTGAAAATCTTACAGCAAATTTGTCTTTATTACAGTTTCTGCTAATTAATGCTCTGTTGTATTATCAGTTTTAGAAATTAAACTCTCTTTATTTAACCCATACCTAACTGCATCTCAAACTTACTAAGCAGCTGTACTATAACAAATCACTTAAAAGTATATAAAAATATTCTCAGGAATCAGTAAGATTTAAAAAAAAAAGTGTTTATATATGCATATATATATGCATATATGTATTTATATATACTCAAAATCAGACCTTACAGAATGTTTTCTTTTAAGATATAGTTTAAAAATGTCTTTACTTTTTAGTATAGATATGCTTTGTATCTGTAATGATATTTCAAGTGCTGTCTAGAAACAGAAAAGAAACATTTCTGGTTTGTTGGAGTTTTTTTAAGACAGTGGGGTAATACAAACATTCCAGTGTCTAAAAATTATATAGCGTGTTTACTGCTTGCACAGTTTAGAGTGATGAAATTGAAGGATGTATTCATAAGCAAGATTAATTATGATGTAGCACGTTAAACTATCCTTGAGCTGAACCATAAAGCATAAACCTGGACCTTCTTACTTGGATAAAAATCCTGTTGAATTTATTAGAATAAGAATTTCAAGTTATGTCAAAATAGCTACATACTGAACATTTATCTGTAAATCAGTTAAGCTATTGCACTTAAGCTACTTTCAGTCTTCTCCATTACGTTTACCCCAAAACATTTTTTGCTCTGCCGTTCTCTCTGGTCACAGAAAAAGGTAGATCCTTCTGTGGAGACTATGGTCTTTGCTCTTCAATAAATTTCCAACTAACTTTTAAGTTACCTTCAGATGTGGTTTATCTTGAAGAATGAAAAATGTAGTCAGTAGCTTTAGATATTCTGTGCATCAATTTTCCACTTAATGTTACACTTCACAAGACACTTTAAGGTATTGTGAATCATATTTTAAACAAGTAGAATGACCAAGAATAATGGAACAGGTTTCTTTTTTTTTTTTTTTCAGGTTAGCAATCCTTTTTCCTCATAGTGTTCTTTTCTGGATGCTGAAATGTAACTAATAGAAAATTTACACAATAATTTACTGTTTTATAGGTAGGAACATGGGATCCATTGAGTGGCCTTAACATGACAGAGAATCAGAAAGGAAAACCAGCAAACATCACAGATTCCCTGTCCAATCGCTCTTTAATTGTTACCACCATCTTGGTAAGTAATTATATTTGCTTTTCCAGAAGTACAGTTATACCGAAAAGCTAATATAATTTGCTGTACTAATTACAACACTAATAAACACTCTGTAGTATATGTTATAGTTACTTAGAAATTGTTGCATCATGAATGAACTCCAGCTGTTAAGCTAGTCATGGATATTTACTTTTATCTAAATGGTAAGTACATTATCTCAATTTTGGAGTTATTTTAGCTGATCAGTAATTTAATTTCCTTATTATTGACTAAATTGTCTGGTTCGTTCACAATGATTTTTGGTTCAGTACTATATGAGAGGACTAAAGGTGTTTGTTTAAAAATGTAGTTTAGCTGTGAGCCTGACAATTCTAGCCAGAAAAATGTATTGATTTCATTTGCTAATCTAACACCATTATCTCTAATGAAAGTACGATTATTAAATTGAAATTTTTAATAATATGAAAATTTAATTGAGCTATTTGAACTAGATCAAATAAATATTTTAAGTAACTTATTTTTTATTTTCATTCTTGACAAATTCAGTTGTGAATGAGGTATTTTTATTTATAATTGCATATATTTAGTTACATAAAAATAAATGTTCCCTAATTTCACATCATAATTTAGAAATAGTAATTTTAATTTCAAACTAAATGAAAACTTTCCAGTTTGCCTGCTGCTACCATTATCATGAATGTGTAAATATCAAGAAAAGAATTCACTTCTGATCAGTTTTATTCTTCAATAAGAAGCTTTTACCTACTAACATATATATTTTGACATTTCAAACTAGAATGTATTTTCCTATGTACGTAGATAAAAATGCCAGTGTGCTTCAAACTGTTTATTTAACATAAGCCATATAATTCCACCCAGTGGGTAACTTGTTCACTTATAAAGTCTGTTTTTATTTGCAGGTCTACAAACTATAAAAAATATTCTAAAATCCTTTGTTTCATTTATTCTACTAACTGAAAAATACGTACCTGAAATATAATTGGAACATGGCTGACTCACTTTCAGGCATAAATTCTTGTTATGCTAAGACCAGCACAGTTTTACCACAACTTTCTCTTGTAGTGTTATTTAAGTTTAATATCATCTCCTGTGATTCTTTTTATAAAATTAAAATAAACTTCTTAGGGTACCTTAAAGTAAAAGCATCTTTTCTAGCATATTTGCATGTCTTTTTTTCTTCTCACTGCCCTTCGCAAGTTTTCAAATTTTGTATGTATAAGAACTGCTGTTTTATCAAGTAAAGTTTTTGAGTATTTCCACCTGACCCTCCCTTTACTCCTGTTGCATTGTACCTAGATCTCTTGCCTACGATTTTACTTGAAGAATTCCACCAATATATAACTATGTTTCAAATTTTTTCCTAATTGATTTCCAGAATAAAGTCCTATCTCTTTTAAGTGGCCTGTTCCTTTCATTACTCAGTATTCAACCAGCTTATCATCTGTACACTTAGTTAACAATAATTGTATACTTGATTCCAGATCAGTGATAACAGTACTGGGACGAAGATGAAATCCATGCAAGATTACATAAGAAACAATAACTGGAGGTGTTAAAATTTACTTTATGATTCTATCTATGTATTGGTGAGGTTTGAGTTCATATATTGCATATATCATATTGATTTTCTATGGTAATACTTACACTTGCATGATTTTATTTCATATAATGATATAATGACAGCACGCAAAGAGTTGTGGTCAATGGCTCAATGTCCAGCTGGAGACCAGTAACGAGTGGTGTCCCTCAGGGATCGGTGTTGGGACCGGTCTTGTTTAACATCCCCAAAATGAGGAGTGAATGTACAGAAAAGAACAACTATGGCTTGATTTCTTCAGGCTGTGATTTATCAGAACATAGTTATGACTACATGTTTCATGACCCAAAAGGTCATACGAGTGACTAATCCAGAAAATATTTTAGATATCAAATAAGGATTTTCATAATTAATGTATATTATAGACAGTATAGTGGAAGTAGGTGACTTTGTAGTTTTTTTTGTGTCTGGTCGTAGTTTCTTCTATAGAATATCCTGTCTGGCTCAAATGAATAGTGAGATGCCTAAAATTTTATATTATTTTGATTGACTGTAACTAGTGGATTGCTTCTCCTCTCCCACTTGAATTTTGACTGCCAACTGTGGAAGCCTGTTGTGTATTCCTTAAATCTGATGCAAATGTTAATTAGAAACGGCAGCCTTTTAAATCCAATATCCCTGGTGAACAGAAGCTAATGATTAAAATTCTCTGTTCTAACAGTGTCAAATTTTGAAGGTGTTTTTTCTATTTTTATCAGGGATTCCAATTTTGTCTTGTTTTGCTTTAGTCATTTCTGATAGTAATGCTAATACTGATGATGTAGATAACTATCAATAAAAATTAAAATTGGAATGTAGAATTTATTGTTACTATTTCGAGGAATATCTTTGCAGTTGACATTTAATAAAGCTCACAGGAATAATTCAAGTATTTCTCGTCCAAGTCTGAAAAGGAAGCATATCAATCAAGGCTACAAAATAATGATAATAAAAAAATCAACCAGTAATTTTTTTCTATGCTCACAGTTGTATAGAATAAGTGTGTTTCATTCAAGTATTAGTTGTTCATTTTAAACATTAAACAAGTCTGTAAAGCTGTAATATTAATTTAACATGTAGAAACATAAGAAAAATCTTTTATTTTGTAGGGAACCTTGAAGTTTGTGATTCAACTTATTTATTAAAAACCAAATACAGATAAATTTTGCAAATGGAACACATGAAAATGTGTAGTAGAAAAAATGTTATATTGACACACCTAAAGAAAAAAACTCTTTGGAGATAGTATGCTTGCTGTGTATTATAGAAATAATGAAATTTAGAAAGTTATTATGAGAAAGCCAATTGTTTACCTTCATGGAATATTAGCACATAAAGCTACTGATAAAAATCACGGTGCTTAAAGTTCACCATGCAGCCAGGAGACACCAACTTATCAATAAGACAAAATATCTTTATTTGTCACCAGTACGTGTAAACAAAAAGTTTGCATGAAAAGGGAAGTCATCTGTCACTTGGGGGTTATATCATTCTTGAATGAACTTGTAATTTTTCTGTATTACTCAAGAAATACCTTTCAAGGATTTATCTTGTAGTTGCAGATATAATTTTAATCTACCTGATACTTTACTCTTCCTTGTGACCATATATTTATTTACAGTAGTTTTACTTTCGAATCATAGAATGGTTAGGGTTGGAAAGGACCTTAAGATCATCTAGTTCCAACTGCCCTGAGATGGGCAGGGACACCTCACACTAGACATACATTCCTGGCCAGGTTGGAAGAGGCCTTGGGTGATATGGTTTAGTGTGAGGTGTCCCTGCCCATGGCAGAGGGGTTGGAACTTGATGATCTTAAGGTCCTTTCCAACCCTAACTATTCTATGGTTCTATGATGATTCTGATTCTTCTCTTTTTTTTTTTTTTTTTATCCTGAAAATTATCATTAGCAGGTTTTTTAATAAAACTTTTTTTCTTTACATCTTCTCTACATCTGATTCATTTCCTTCTTGTAATGTTTTGTACTGAATGAGTACTTACTCCTTTCTAATCAACTGGACTAGGTAGCTCCTTTACAGGGAGGATTTTCCTTGTGCTGAGAGAAAAGCCACATAAATTAGATGCCTTTGTAACTAGCCATAAACCTGTATTTTATGAAACAAGATCACTTTGTATTATATCATCTTTTGAGTTACTAGAATTGACTGTCTTTCATTTACCTGCTTTCACAGGACTACAATGATGTCTGAGAACAAAACCCTATCCCATCATGATCCTTTTCCCTCATGATCTCAGATTATGATCCTATCCCTCACAATCTCAGATCCTACAGAAATTGGAGGATGGCATTCATCTGTATTTAAAAAAAAAACTCCTAAGTCATAGAATAACATTTCTGGAAAAGAAAAATTCCATCCTACTATATACTTGTTTGTTATACTGTTATCCTGATTGGTAAAGATATTGGCAGTATACCTCAAATGAAGAATCAAAGCTTTTTCTTTGTTTGTTTGCTATTTTTCTTCCTCTAACCTCTCCTATTTTAAAAGGAAATAGTGAGATGGAGATTTTCCCTTCAGAGTCAAAACTACTCCTATGAAGTATAAACAGTTGAAGCAAAACCAGTTTTGAAAACTTTAAATTTGATAGTTTGGTGATGTAGGTATACACTGATCATTGAAAGGAGTGTACTGCATGTACATTTTTAATTTCTTGCTTGTTCCAAAAATATTTTCATTAAATACTATGAATTATGTAACTGTACATTTAGGTGTATAATTATATATGTGAACCTTTTAGTTTTATGTAATTTAGACTCACATTCTTGAACAAGGTTTATAAACTTTTATGATTTAAACTTGTGAGAAAATGTCAATCTAACCCTGAATTTCATATGTAAGCTAATGATACTGAAACTTTATTAAACCATGTCCGTTTCATCTCTCTCATTGTTCCCAATGCCCTTTATCTTTTTTATTTTCATGTTCTAAAAGTTTCTATTTATATAAACTTCATTTGGGTAATTCTTTACTATTGAGCTGGTCAAAAGTATGCTGCAAAGTTGGCAAATTTCATGCATCAGGAGTAAGCTTAACCAGAAGCAAAATTAATTAGGTTGAAGTAAACTGTTTTTTTTTAATTTCAATAACCCTCCCTTTGGTTGCTCTCTTTTCAGGACAAGCACACTTGATAAAAATACATGGTAGAATCATTTTTCTGTAGCCTAAATTAATTCATAGTAAGCATGTTTTCTGGAAGTGACTCTGCAAGAGGATTTTTTCAGGAATCTTTTCTTGGAGCACTTGTGTATAGGCAGTGCTTGTTCAGTGGCTTTTGCTGGAAGCTACTCGTGTCATTCCAAGCCATAATGAAAATGCTAAAGGGAAGTTTTGTTGTTTATTTTTAACTCTAGGGAAATGTGTCTAGTTGAAAGACTATTAATTTCAGCTGAAAATGCTTAGAACATCTTAAAAAACATTTTGTAAACGTTTTGAAAGCAAGTCTGATCAACTTGTTTTGTGATGTGTTATAGTGATTTTTAAGGGTCATGTTTTCAGGAGCTGAAGGATAAAATTAAACTGTGAACAAAGTTAAAATAAATATTTTAATATCTAGCAATCATTCCGTTTAAATAATCTGTCTACATTATCAATGATAATTGTCCTACTGAAATATTTTTGTGGAAGTAATAATACACCAAGAAGCAATGGTCATCCATATGTTTAATGCATAGACAATTTCCTAAGAGTGCATGTAATAGCCAGTTTTACATTAGCACACGCTATGAATTTAAAACTTGAACACATAAAACATGTAGTCCCTGCATAAGTTTTATGTTTGGGGTTTTACTTTGGGGGTTTTTGGTTGTTTGGGTTTTTTGTTTGTTTGTTTTCTTGTCTTTTTCATGTGCCCTTCACATTTTGAGCTACATTTAACTTCCTCCCTACTTTAAGTTTCTGTTGATTGAAGAATTCATGCTTGAATTTTGTTGTTTTTCTGCGCTTTCTGTGTTTTGTCTTGGCACAGCTTGTGCTTGGCCAGTAGTGTGCTTTCATTAAGGAATCCTGATTTCGCCTGAAAAACGTTTTTCTTACAGTTGTTATATGTCAGATATTTCATACCAATTGTACTTTTACACTTTTTTAAAAAAGCAAGAGAGCTTCCTGGGCTCTCCTTTGCATTTTGAGTAAAATTTTACATGCTAAAGTTTCAGTTTTATGTCAATATAATGCTTAAATCATGGAACCCCTCAAGACACATGTTTACATCAGGAATGCTGACAAATCCTTATTAAAGCTGTCAAATGCATGTAGAATGAAGTGCTTTAACCCCAATGAGTGCTTATGTGGAGGTTTTGGGCTCTATGAATTTTGTTAAGTTACCCTGGAGAGTTTATCTGATTATTCATTGCGACTTATATCCGCTGCAGTAATTGCATCTACTATCATTTGTCTTACCTTACTTGGTGTTTATTTTTTATTATTCTAAAAATGAAAAAAAAACCCATGTCTAACACACGACCAAAGACTCATCTTTGTATTTCACCTATCAAATAAAACTTGAATATTGGTGCCATATTGTAGTGGAAAATGATACCATTTGGTTTTTGTCCTTTTTTCATTCGAGGAAGGCTATCCTATACTGAGAAACAGGTGCAAAAATCCTATCTTTTGCTAAATGTTAAGTTTTTTCCCATAATTATGATTACATTGACAATTAATTTGTTTGCAGACCACTATATGCAAAAAAAATCACACTGTAATTTAAACTAAATATAAGAAAATATTTAAAGAATATAAACTTTCATGGACTGTATGTCATGGAATGTGATTTTGCGTTAACTTTTTCCTGGTTTTATTGCAGTCTTGGAAATGGCAGACTATAATTTAAGGCAACAGAACAGTAGGAATTTTCACTGAAATTTGCCTCCTCCTGTAGTTTTTGTACACTTTACCTGAAAAAAAGGTTGAGAAAACAGTTAAAATACTTATGTAAAGAAAAGTGTAAAGCATAATACTTTAAACATTTGATGTTTAGGGTCTGAATTAATTTGTTTCAGTTGCCAAAGAACACTGTTTCTGCATTTCAAGAGGCTTACAAAGTCTGTACAATGTATTTTATTTTAATGTATAATATAATTTGTTAAGAAGGACACTTACATTTGGTTTTATATGTATTCCTTGAAGATATGTCTGTATTGTTTAAGTGTCTTTTTTTTTTTTTAATAAAAATGAGAAAGTTGGTCTTTTGACTAGCTTCAGTTTGAAGGTAAATAAAGACTTTATACAGACCTAACCAAATCTAAAAGGGTACTACTTTTAATTCTAGTTCTTTGTACAGGGAGTGTTATAATGCCAATGTACTATTTTAGATTAAAAAGAAACAAAAGTTATGGAGGCACTCATTATCCATTTTGTCTTTTTAATTTTTACAGGAAGAGCCATATGTTATGTTCAAAAAGTCTGACAAACCCTTGTATGGAAATGATCGGTTTGAAGGTTATTGCATTGACCTCCTCAGGGAGCTATCTACTATCCTTGGATTTTCCTATGAGATTAGACTTGTGGAGGATGGAAAATACGGAGCCCAGGAAGATGCCAGTGGACAGTGGAACGGAATGGTTCGTGAACTAATTGATCATGTAAGTTAACTTTGGAAGCCTTCTATTATCTGTTTGGATTCCAATTCTATCTATACTATTTGTGAAAATTTTATGATAATGCCATTTGAATAGTACTGTTTTGGAATATGCAGCCATTTAAAGAATTAATACAAGTAGATTAACATCAATGATTTCTTTAGTGCAGAATTTGTTTGTTTGACAAAGACTGTTCTGCAACTCTGTTTTGCCTATAGGCAGTGTTTGTTTCTGCCAAACTGGATTAGCTCTTCCATGGCATATGCCTAAGTCAAAATATGGAATAGATAGTATTCAGAATTTATTTCTGAGAACAAATATATGATTTTTTGTAACAAAAGTCTACATCTTTTTTAATCAGTAGAAGCCAGGTTTCGTCTTTTGATAGTGGATTAGAGATTTTCTCATAGAGAAATTTCTGTAGGGAGTGTTAATATGAATTATTTGATATACAGCAAGAACAGGAATATCTTTCTTGAAATAGTAAAAATAAAGTGCAAACATATCTCAACATATACTAAAGCAACAAATTAATGTAATGTGTGTCAAAACAGATACCATAACTATTACTTGTAAATGAGTAAAGCAGGCATTCCTTCCTATCTTTCAAAGCATACGTTCCCAGTTGATCATGCCAGTAAAATTCAGTTTCTTGGAAGCATTTTAGTAAATTTGAAAATTATGGCATTGTCCCTTTCTGCATTTGGACAGATTGCTTCAAATAGTAACATTTGGTCAAACAGAGATAAAACATATTATGCACATCAGTGTCAAATAAGAAGAAGGGGAGACAATTTTATAGCTAATTCAAGTGAAACCTGCTAATAGTGGCAGAAACTGCATGAATAGCTGAAACAAAAAGATACACTAATCTTGTTTCAATTTGCTGTAAGAGTTCAGCAGATGGGCAGAACATGTGCTAATCAAAATATTCATATTTACTAGGAGGGTTATTATCTTCATGATTTTCTAGTAAATAATAATCTGGTATTGCTGTTGCAACAGATATTATGTCTAACGTCACACTTTTAAGATGACTGTGTGGGAGTATTATATTTATATTATCTTTAAATGTGTGTATGCATTATACCTTATATACATACTTTGATTTAAACAGACATTTAGCTAGAGTCCCTGTCCATCTCTATCCATGCGTATTTGCACACATGTATAAATGTATAGGCATTCATTGCTATTAGATTTAATGGTTGTTAAATAGCATCATTATTTGGAACTAATTTTCAATGATTGGAACTAATTTTCAACAATTGAGGTGGATATTGTGGAAGTATTTCTTATATAATTCTTCAGAAGCAAAAAAAATAATCACATTTGGTATGTTTTTATTATTCGGCCCTAAAGCTTTCTTAAACAAGCACTAGTATGGCCTCCTGAATTTTTCAATTAAGACAATCTTGAAATAAAATGCATTTGAAGAAGTTGCAAATTTAAGTATGTGGAACTGGAACTTTTCCAATCCTTTCCTCTTGATAACACAAACGTATGTTCCTTTTTCCCATAGATATAATATAACTAAACTTAGATCAGAATTTATTTTGCCTTTTTAAATGATGTTTACTTAAGAGTGAAAAAAGGTTATATGCTGTGCTAGTGCCTAATGGAAGATGTAATCTAAGTTCTTAACTGGAATCACAACTTTTACTAATCTCTCTCAGTTTCCCAATTTTGAAGTTTTTCCTTTAAAATTTTCTCTGTTTTTATCTAGTCTTATTTTATAATCTAATTGAATACATGTAATTTATTTATGCATCTGTGCCTTTTGTTTGCATGCATGTTATTGGTACATTTTATTAGCAATTCACACTTCAGATAACAATAATTAAGAAAATTCCAGATACACAGTTATCATATTTGATGTTTTTATATGGTTAGTACTTCACATAGGCCAGTTAGGTTAGCTTTTAAGTCTTTATTTTCCATTATTTTTTAAAGTGTTAGAAAGATTTTGTTTTATATAAAGTGATCTAACAGACTAAATTATCCTTGTATAATTTTGGTTTACTATGAGTGTAGAAAAGAAGATGCACAATTTATATAAAGATGAAAGTATCAAATAGAATTTAATTTTTTAAATAAACTGTTTAAATCTCTGCTTAGTAACTTTAAATAATTGCGTGCACTCAAAAGTTTAAGTGAAATTAAGGCAATGTTATCTTAATAGAGCTCAGCATATCATGTCAGTCTCAGGCTTGAAATTCTATACTGTGAACCAAGACTGAAGTCTACTTCAGGCTTTGTGTTGTTTTCAATCTCTTTTCCCGTAGTTCTTCTTTCTTTCACTTTTTTACTCAGTGTTCACGTATGCCATCATTCTGATATTGGTCTCCAAATAGTGAGTAGTTTCCTTCTGATTAACTGATAGATGCTTAAAAATTAGTTCAATGACTCCTTCACTTTGACAGCTGAATGATAATGAATTCTTGTTGGAAAAGACAGTAGTCTCTCTAGCTGCAAATGGAAAAGAAATATTCATAACATCTATAGATGAGATTTCCCTGTGGAAATTCAATTGAATTTCTCCAATTAAGCAGCCTGACTTCTTTGCTGCAATTTTTCATCCAATATTTTATCTTCATCTCTGGTTAATTCAAGATAAGGGTGTTAGATATTTCGAGGTGAACTAAAATTTGGGTATTTCCATCTTTCAGGGATGCATTCTTCAAAAGTACTCTTTATACTGAATTGTTGCCTTTCATTCAAAAAATTTATTCAAGGGTAGATTTATTGAATTGGTTTTGAACTTAATGATAAACTTTGTATATTTCAGGTTGATCTGTGGTGATAAAAGTTGATATGATGCTGTATTATATTGTATAAGATATATAGTGTGAGTGTGTAAATTATTTTGCCCTATAGCTAGCAGATACTGAAAGAATAAAAATGCATAATTTTTTTTTCTGTTCAACATTCTACAGCTCCAAAATTACTTCAAAAGATTCTTATCATTGAATTCTAAAAACAGCAAAATATACTGGTTTATAAATGATAATGAAAAATCCACTAGGAGGTAATTTGTTATTATTATATACCATTAAAAATAACATTTTTTTCACCTTGTTCTTTGTTTGAATGAATCTTTTTGTTTGAATCTTTTTCAGCAAAAAGCTTGTGTAATAAAAATAGACTTTAAGTCTTGGAGATCTTTTATGATTCATAAATAATTATAGAAAACATTAGATATTTAGATCATGGCTGCTCTTTTATTATATGTGAGGATTAAACTTTTCTTTGTGCCTCAGGAGTAGGATTTTCAGCTTGGAGGAATTTAAGAATTATGTAGTTGAACAATTGGAAATCACTACCTAATTTGAATTAACTTGAAACATAACTTAGTGTTTTACTTCAGTATCTTTTGAATTTTTTGAAAATCAGTATTTTACTAATAAATGCTTACATACAAAATGTTTACATTTCTAGAAATAGTAATGGCCTTTTATCCTCTCAACTGAATAGTTTCAGACAATTATATAATGTTTAAAATGTTTCTGGAGACATCTTCTTCCAGTAACTTGTTACTTTTCTTTCCCCCTCCTCAGTTTATGGTCTTTATGGTCCTGAGGCACTAGAGCCAAACTCTTTGTATTACTGTGTAAAAGTAAAAAAAGCTTCCTATAAGCAATAAGGTTGTAGAAGTAAACAAAACTTCCAATAAGGAAGGTTGCTTCCTTTCTGAAACAAACAAAAATCTATACAAGTAAAGGAATTTCAGTTTCTTCCATCTCTTTCTTTTCTCTTCCTTCCCTTTTCAAATTTAATTTCATCATGTTGTTTAGACTCTCTCTCGTTTTCCTTCATGCTTACAGCACGTCTTGCCCTATAGAGCCTCATAAGGAAAGTTTAAGGAGCTTCTCTTTCATCTTCAAGGCTAGGTACAGTTTTCCTTCGTGTAATTTTCAAGCAAAAGGTCTGAATAAAATGCAGCACAGTATAGCCCTGCCTCTTTGGAGGAGTTCTTGCCTCTTTTTACAACAACCTTGTAAGGAGGTTGTAGCAAGGTGGGTGTCAAGCTTTTCTCCCAAGTGACAAATGATAGGAAAAGAGGAAAGGGCCTCAAGTTGTGCCAGGGAAGGTTTAGATTGGATCTTAGGAAAAATGTCTTTCCTGAAACCTTTGTCAAGAACTGGAATAGGCTGCCCAGCGAAGTGGTAGAGTCACCATCACTGGAGGTATTTAAGAGATGTTTAGATGTGGCACTTAGAGACATGGTTTAGTGATGGCAGTTAGCAGTTAACCAACCAGGTTAATCATTGGAATCAATAATCTTTCCAACCTGAATTTCCAACAGGCCAGGGCTCAGTCTGGGAGCTCTGCTCTGGCTGCCCCAGTGGTGGCCAGCGTAGGCACCCAGAAAGAGCAGATGAGAGAGGAGGCTGCAGGGCAGAGCTTGGAGTGTAGGGAGTGCCTTCTCCGGTCTTGTGGGGCGATGGGGCACAATGAACAGGGCTGCACTTGGTGCGCCCTGGTGAAGGTTCTCCTGCAGCAGGGGTTGAGATGTAGGACACTGTCAATAGGCTAAAAAATGTCAGGGAAACTGAGAGGAAGCAGGACTGCTTGCTCCAGGCCCAGACTGTGCAGGAGCCTCAAGTGTCCACTGTAGCTCATGCAGGAAAGAAGGAGGGCATTAAACCAGGAAGCAGGGAACTAGTAAAAAAAACCATAACCAATGAAAAAAAGAGGAAGAGCACAATTAAAAGCAAGGGGCTTCCTCCTAAATGTGATGTCCCCACCCAGAACCACTTTGCAGTTTTGCAGGGGGCAAGCAAATAAACACACACCTCACCACATGAACAACCGGCTGATGCACCAGTGAAGAAGATCACTAGTGGTGCTGCCAGGAAAAGTGGTAGGTCATAGAAGTAGAGGACTCTACTTTGAAAGGCACAGAGGCACTCATCTCTTGGCCTGACCCAGTCTCAAAGGAAGTATGTTGCCTACCAGGGGCTCGGATCAGGGATGATGCAGAGAGGCTGCCTGGTCTCGTA